TGGGCAGGAGAAGACTGTGTTGAGAAAGGGAGTAATGGCAGAAGGGCAAGAGGCAAAGGTCATGTATGCCCCTGTACACCTACAGACATGGATAGTTATGGAAATACACTTGTAATCTGTGTACAAGGATATGCCAGCCTTCTCCCTGGGGACGCAGGGCAGCACAGTGCTTTTAACAAACTATTTAGCAGACTGATGTACTTTTGTGATGACTGTTTAACCTCAAGAGATTTCATTCTGTGGTTTCAGCAAGGATTACAGTAAATGCTCAATTTAGGTTAAGTCACAATCTAATTAAACAAATTCAGTCTAAATCCCTGCTGGGCCAGTAAAGATTTGCCTGTCAAATACCTCTAAGCATTTTCATTTTCTATAGCAACAGTTAAATGGATATGCAACTGTCAGTTTAAATGCTTTAAATGAAGCTGATGGGATTAGTAATTGAATGCTCAGATTAATGATTTACAGCTGGTTTTGCTACCCTGATCGTTGCTAACAGCTATGTTCATGATATCTCCCTACTCTTATCAGGTAGGTGGAATAGTGGTCTACAACTACAATAGAGTTATGATATTATGAAATACAGTTACAGTACAGGTTTGATGTAGTTAGTGCATTCCTGCTGATATGTATTACTATTTCTAATACCACGGGCAGCAAAGGATTATGATCAAAATATGAAAAGCAGAAAAATCTAAAAATAGCCACCTAGCCTCCACAGTTAGGACTTGGAACTGGAGGTCTCAGTCATTCTTCAATTAAAGGTATACATTTGTCTTTAATGGTTTAGGTCAGAAAGCAAACCTCAGTGTTGTAGGTGGTGAAATGACATCGAAGGCTGCGAGCGGAGACTGACAAAAGGGGTTTCTATGAGAGGTGGTAGGACTGCAAAGGAAGTGGAAGAAATGAAGTCTGTGCACTGCCAAAGTGGCTGCTTTTAGAGAAAGAGACCAGACTGCAAAGCTTAGTCAGGTGGAAGGATCTCTTTGTTGATACTTGAATCACTCAGCTTGGTGGGAACTGAAGAGAAGCATGGAAGTTTTCGGACTCGGATAGGGAAGTGGTTACACTGTTCTCTGTGTGACTTTTTAGATCCCACTTCAGTGCTTTAAAAGGCCAGAAATATGGTACGCTCCTCAGGGTTGTCCCAGAACATCACTGCCAATAAAATGGGCTTTGAGGCCAGCTAACTCCTACCAGGAATTTCTTAATTCTCAAAACAACCTAGGGTCAGGGAATTTAACCATTCAATTGCTTTTTAAGTTGCAAATTCTGGGAAGTTGTTGGCATAAGAAGGAATCCTGCTGTTTGCGTCCAGCTGAGCTTTGTAGTGCTTGAAGAAGGCTGTAAAGAAAACTTTCTGTGGCACTGAGATGTATGCACAAGCTGTAGATTTGTGATATGAATTTGTCATTTTGTCTTATATGTAGTCTTCCAAAACCATCCTAATGAGAGGCCCTTATACACCACACATTGAAAACTTTGGTTCATGTTAATTGAGTTCCCTTCAGAAATAAAATGAGCCAGTGTATATTTAGAGTCTATGTTGAACACAGTTTAATAATACTTATTTCAGTATATTAAATTAGAACATGTTTTTGTTCTTATAAAGATTCTATCTTGGGAAACATTATCTGAAACAGCTATCAACATTGATGTTATAATTACTTGTATTTATGATATGATTATAAACAATTATAAAGTAAATCATTATAATTATTTAGACATAATTACAAAATAATTATTGTAATAATAATGTTGTAGTTATTTATATTATATATCATACTACATATTAATTTACAAAAAAAAAACCCACCAGGAAATTCAAAGTTATATTTTACATATTTCAGTTCATAGAATATGCCAAGTTCATCTGAGATGTGGGAATGGCTCTATGACCTATCCTCATTATCCTGAGATTTAAGCTTAGGTTTTCAGGCAGAGCTCCAGCTGAATGCAATTTGGTAGTCAGAAATCATTGTATTCATCAGCTTCTTTCTTCCCCATGATCTGCTCCTGTATGTGAACTCCATTCGATTCAGGAAATCCCTTTTTTTTTTTTTTTTTTTTTTTTTTCTATTCCTTCCTCTAATTATTTCCTATTAAAAAAGCCCAGCTCATCCTTGCCTAACCTCAACTATACTATCTTTTTCTTCCTTTTCTTCCTCATGCAGAGACATTAATCAATTAATCAGTTTCACTGGTCTAGACCCTTCCAGCATTCATTGTTCATACTCAGTTTTTGTTATACTTACTCAGTATTCAGACCAATGATACTATATTTGATCATACTCTGGAATATTGATTGCTGTGTAAAAATGCCAAGCCAATTATAAGAACCAGGGAAAGGAAATGTAGAATCTGTTTTTTGATCTCAGGATGACATTTCTTCTCTCAGAATAATCTTGTAATTATTTTTCTTTCCAGACATCAGGCTTTCCTCCTTTCTACTTTTATTTATATAAAGTGATACAGCTGTTTCAATAATCTTCCACTGATGTGACTGTTCTAGGAATGTATTGTAAGAGGAAAATTAGGGGACCCTTTCAGAACTTGGACCAAGAATGAGATGCCCTTTTTCATCTTGCAGCCCAATAGACCTTATCTTCAACCTTAGTTTTGATTTGTGATTTAGAAAAGTGAACTTCAGGAAACATTTCTTGATTCACTGGCATATTTTGAGCTGATTTAATCTGAAATGTTAATTACTGAGAATGTTAGAGCACTTTAGTGTTAGAGAGCCCCTGAGTGATGGCATAACTGAAAGTCTAAAATAAGAAATTCCACTTCAACAGAAGAAATTGGATCTTATTCTAACTGCACACCTTTTAATTTATAATTATTAAAGCAAAAAAGTGTCTAACTGGAAAGGTTTTTAATTATAATGGGAGGAATGAGGACTATTCAACTTTGCTGTTTCATTCAGAGAATCAAAATGGCATTCTCCTTCTATGCACATGGCCACCTGCCTGTTCAGCCTTGGAAGAGACTTAGTCCTTCACTTTGCTTGCCTTCATTCCTCTTTTGGGTTGCGTACACATATCCCAGTTAGAAGTTTGTATCAAGTACTTTTTTCCTACTATATAAATTGCTATAAATGGGAAAGTTTAGCAGATCAAAACTTCATTCTGCAAGATACATACTAGGTCTCTAGAATTTGGGAGTTTTATTCCTCATTACATCACCAATTTTTTGTTAACTGTGAAGGATGGGTGACAACGACATAAACCTTTTGCATCATCAGGTGCAACAATGCTTCTTTTAGTTAAAAGTCTGGCAAGGGCCTCTCTTTGATTGAATCGGAGGTAAGTTTTAGGGAAAAGAAGTGAACGAATGTTGAAGTGAAAGATGAAGGATGCAACTGCCTTGTCATTTTAGTTCCTTCTGGAGTGTATGTCTGAAGCAAACCCGGTGCTGGTGCCCGCATCCCATGCATGGGTTCGGGCTGCAGAGCAGGCTCAGTGTGCACAGCCTGAGGTCCCTGTGGGTGAAACCCACCAGGTGATGTGCTCCAGGAGCCCGACCGATGTCCTTCAGCCACTGCTGGGCTGGTGCTATGGGGGGAAGGAATGGGCAGAAGACTTTTCCTGCGGCTGGTGGCATCTTGAAGAACTCTCTAGAAGTCCCTAGGGAGCAGAACTGAATTCTGAAAAGGCCATGGAGCTTCTACAGGCATCTGTATTTCTGCCTTTTAAAATTTGGTATCAATTCTCTACAGCAGGAAGATGAAAATAGGTGCCTTGCTTTTTACTGAAGGAAAAGGAATGCATTGTGTTTTATGAACACTTCAGCAGGATTTTGGCCACTTCAGACCACCAAGGGCCAAGCTGAAAATCATCACATCTAATTGTATGTAGTGAGGCTTTTAAGTGCATATATAAACACAGATTAATTTTTAAAAGTCCTAAGTACTGAGGACATCCTATTGACTTGAAGTTAAAGAAAAGTCAGACCCTTATCTTGCCCCTTGTGTCAACAGATAGTACTGTGAAAAACTGAAAAACAGATACTGAATGCGGAGCCATAGATGGTTTTAGACATCTAGCTCCCATAAACTATTTCAGCAATAATCAGGTATCTAAACAGCTTTGAGGATTTCGGCTACAGATACTTTAAATTATTGTCAGCCTCAGTGGTCAAAGCGATTCTTATCATGTTAATTTAAATGGGAAGTAACCAGTAACTAGTAGCAGTAGGTAAAGTGCTCACAGACTAGGAATCTAGGGGGACGGTCAGAGTTATGGAAGGAAGCGCACGCTGGGATGGGAGATGGCCTTTGGTGTAAATGCCACTTATGTAAATGCCAAAGGATCTACAGTGTTAGTGTTGGGTAGTCTGTTTTTTTTCTCAGATTTACTTATACTGCCTTTGTTTGAAACAGAAAAGACTGACGAGCAATTTCCCATATTTCAGTAGTGCCAAAGTGATTTATATCAGCTGAGGAATCAAGCACAAAGCTCTTTCATGGAAGACTGTCTGGTGCGCTGTACAATTAGAATTCTGAAGCTTTTTTATGCAGTTTTGGTTTATGTTGATTTCACACTTATGCTTTTTGAGTTAATGTTTATTACTTTAAGGCCAACTGTACAATCCTATATTGGATGGATATAAAAGGTGTAACTAATCAAACGTGGCGTTGTGTCGTGCACTGGAGAAATGCTTTTAGTGCTTTAAGTCAAACACACGATTTTCTTTTTTCATGTGAGTTGTCTGAACATTATGAATTATAAACTTAGGCTTTAAACATTTATTCTGTTAACTGGTTAAAATGAGAGCTGTTAGAGCAAATACAATTATATTGACTTTATAGCATATTTATTATTCTAATATTCTAAGAAACTGAGAAAACTAAAGACAAAAATGTGTTTCAGCTCTTGTGTATGCAGTACAAATTCTGTAAATACAGAAAAGAGATTGGCATTGTTCTGGTTGCTTAAAGAGAAATTGAGATGATGTTTGATTAAATGACTGAGAGGAAATAAATAACATTTCAGAATTTATGCAGTTAGGATGAAGAATTTATTGTATATACAGTTAAGCAACTCTACTGTCAATGTACTTCCTCTTTAAAGAAAATGAATACAGTAATAAAAATAGTTCTAGCATGGAAACTACAATACAGACTGAAACTTGACTAAAACAGAAATTAGTTATTTGACTGGAAAGAACACAGAACCTGAAACAACAAATCGCAGGTTGCATCATTAACCAAGGACAGTAAAAAACTGTACAGTACAAGCAACACGTTACAATAAGTTATGACCAATAAGGCAGTCTTTCTCATTTAGGACAAAAGGGATAAAGGGAAATGTATTAAAATCTCATAAATCCACCATATCTCTTTTCCATCTCTGGGACCTCTTTGGAGTAAGCTTCCCCATCTTCTTCTGAAGGGAGAATGGAGTCAGCGAAGCGCTTAAGAAACCCACCGTATCGTTTCTGGTAATCCAGCCACCATTCTGGCCTGCCCACTCTTCTCATGAAACCACCGTATCTCTTTTGCAGCTCTTTGGCTTCATCTTCCAATCCGGGGCTGCGCTTTATGCTTCTCATGAAGCCTCCATACCTTTTGCTGACATCCCCATCGTTTTCATTTATCTCGCGGTAATGCCCCGCTTCAGGGTTGTCCCCTGTTCCCAGAAGCTCCTTCAGCAGATCAGAGGAATTATCAAGGGCATCATCATCTGAGTCTTTCTTCATAAACCCTCCATACCTCTTAGCCAGGATTTCGCCTCCGTTACCTTCATCCTCTGGTTCTACCCGATAGAGCTCATCCATTTTCTTCATGAACCCGCCGTATCTTTTCATGAAGCCTCCATACTTCTTCGCAAGCAAATGGTTCTCATCCAGCTCTTTCTTGTCTCCTGGAGCAACGTTGCCATTCTCAGAAAGATCCAGCTTCACCAGTTGTAGGAGCTCCTTGCAGGTCTCCCAGGCTTTGGCAGAAGGCAGCTTTCCTTCACATTCTAGTGTACATGCCTGAAAAATGGATGCGGTTTACTGAGAATGATTTGAGTGTAACAAGCATCTCACTGCCACCTTGTCTTAGCTTTTCTTGTTTTTAAAAGACCATGAGCGAGCCTCTCTTTGTGAGTGGCTTGGAAAGATTTGGTACCTGTCTGTTCTTAAGTTCTTCATATCCCTCTCTGAAGGACATGGTAGTCTCACTCTAAGAGACAGAATACTGGACAAAATGGGTCGTGGGTCCTATATGTCAGGGCGGCCCCTAAATTTCTGTTTCCAGGGAAGCCACATGTACAGTTCTTGCACCTCCATTATGCTCAGGTGCGTTGTTATGATATTTTTTTTTTTTTTTTTGTATTTACTACTGGGAAGCTAAAAACCAATTGTGGTTTGCTTCATAACGAACGTATAGAAGTATATTCATTCTTCATCATTAAAAGTACCATTCAGAAATTTTAGGAAAGAAGTTACATGGCATTGTCATTGCAAAGAAGCCAGATACACTGTATTGCTCAGTATCTTCAATATACTGCACAGCTTTAAAGGCTGTATTTCTGTCTGTTATAATTAGTGTCTCATTGTGGAACAGATCTTTCAAATGTGTACAAAAACAAACATAAAAATACAGGCTGTCCTGGGCAGGATCAAGGTTCTGATGTTGCTAGCTTGACATACAAAGCAGCAACCATCAGAAAGAGGGAAAAAATCCTAAGACGTGTGGCTTCTGAATCTAATGAAAAATTTTCAGGCTAAGACATAAAAAAAGTTTTCATTACTTGTGTGCGTAGGTCATAATGTAAAGATAATAACATACATATTAGCTACTACTATCTCTGTAGTGACAGGGGAATTTACTTCTTGTGAAGACACACTCTTCAGTCGGCAAAAAAAAGTGAACCCAGTGGGGTTTCTTTTCTGGCCCATGTTTTTTGTACCACAATGATTAAACAAGAAATCATTAATATTTTCAATAAGAGAAACATTTATACTGCCTATAGCTGATGTTTGCTAAGGATCTCAATATGCTTTAGAAGTGTGAAATTAAACCCCAGCACAGTTTTCTCTAATAGCTAACTGACCAGCTCCCTACCTCTGGCCTTACCTGTCTGTTGGTACGATCAAAAGAAAATTAAGGGATTTATGTATTTCACAACAATATTTATTATAACTGTCACTACATGCTTGTTATATATTATAGTTATGCCGTTAAGAGAATGTGATCTCAGCTTCAGTCTGACTTTGAAATTGCTCTAAATCAAAGCAAGAATAGGTGCTTCCCTTCCTTTTCCCTTCTCAATTCGTTTAAATAACCCTTATGGCCAAATTAGCATATGCTATCTCATAGGTGTGAACGACTAGGTACAATGTGATAAATCTTGTATCTTACAGATACAATGTGATAAAATCAGTTATGATGTTACTAGATCTAAAAACACTATCTAGAAACATGTGTTTCTATTAAAAACAAAACAAACAAAAAAACAACAAACCACCCCATATGCAGATACAGTGTAATAAAATAAGTTATAATGTTACTAGATCTAGAAACATTATCTAGAAACAGTTGTTTCTAAAAGCTGTTTGTATTTGTATAAAGAATATATGGTACAGCACACGGCTTCTTTTCCCATTTCAACTAATTGCTGTTGTTATGGAATGGGACTTTGATTCTTTCTTCAGTAATTGCTGAAGGTTTCCAGGAGAGAATATCAGTATAAACACCCACAACATATAATTTGAAAAGCATGAATCCTTCCCCCCGAAAGCACAAACTACCGCCTTGTCCCTAGTTGATGTTAAAGTTTGATTGAAAGCCAATGTAAGCAAGAATATGGGGAACGGTTTTGCCAGTATTCCTAAGAATACTGCCCTTATGAACCTGTTGTGGTTAAGAGTGAGTCCTCACTTTTAGAGTAAGCAGTACTCAGTGATTCCTAATTCTGTGAAAACGTAGGGTCCAGTCCTTCCTTTTGTGTGCTCCCAAGTAATCGACGGCATTATAGGAACAAAACTTTTCAGGTCATTTAGATGTGCCGAGAGCTAGATGCCTCAAGAGGCGTCTGCGTGAGGTCAGAAACCGCAGGAGCCTCTGGCAAAGGACTCGGCAGGCTCAGTTCCCGCCTTCTTCAGGGAGGGCTGAGGGGCCCCAGACCGACACTGACCGCGGTCCTTAAATTTCAAGTCGAGTCGCCCCTCTGACTATACTTTTAGATTATTTTAATATCATTAAAATTACAGATACACGCCACCCCACCCCCCACCCCGCATTCTGGGGTTTTCTTAGCAGGATTTGTTTTAGGAGACGCCGTCAAAGGGAACTTTCCTGCAGCACCGAGCACAGAGGGAGAGCAGCGGGAGGTACTGCTCCTCAAACCAGGCTTGAACCCCACTTTTTGGCGAGATCTCAGGCAGATCCGCCGCTTTTCAGCTCCACAGCCATCCTGCCTGGAGGGAGCTCACCCCGCCGGCGAGCCCGCGGCCGGGGGTCGGCACCCCCCTCCCGTCCCTCCCGCCTTCCCCCCGCCCAGCCGGGGCTGAAGTACCGGGCAGCGACCCCTCCTTTCCCTGCAGAGCTGCCCTCTCGGCCCGGATTTCCCTTCCCCCTTACTTTTTCACTTGTTTTTTTGTCCTTTTTGCCCCCCCGGGGCTGCCTGGCGCGGGGTGTCCACCCCCCCCTCGGAAGCAGCCGCTCGCTGTCGGGCCGCGGGATGGACGGGCGGGCTGGGCTGTATGTCTGTCTGTGTGTCCGTGTGTCTCCTCGGGGCGCACTGGGTTTCTTTCAGCGCTGCCCGCACAACCCGCTCCCCCCCCCCCCCCCCCGCCTCGCCCCCTCCTCAGCGCCCCAGCGCCCGCTCCTCCCTCCCCGTTTCAAAAAAAAAAAAAATTAAAAAAAAATCTCTTCCAAGCGACCCCGGCCGCTTCCCCCGCTATTTCTTTTTGTGATTTCCCTCCTTCGCCCCCTTCCCCTTTTCCTCCCTTCCCAAAGTTAAGGCGGCGCGGGGGACCCGGCCGAAGGGGGTCTCCGCGGCGCTGAAGCGGCCGGGCGATCCCCCCCCTCCCCGCCCCCCCCCCCCCCCCCCCGCCCCCCCCGGCCCCACTGCCGCTTACCAGAGGGTGGATGCCGGCGCGGGGGCCCAGGCGGTAGGCGCAGCCGGCGCAGTCGCGGCCGCAGTCCGCCCGCACCCCGAGGAGGAGGCAAGTGCTGAGGGCCAGCAGCGAGCAGCCGAGTCTCAGGAGCAAAGCCATGGGGCTGCAAGAAGGAGAGGTCAGCCGGCAGCCCACTGCCCCCCCCCCCCTCCGCTTCGCCCCCCTCCCCGCATTGCCTCTCCCACCTTCGGGGCAGGGAAAAACGGTACGAAACCGTTCGGCCGCCGCGATTTATCAAAACCAAGTTCTGAGGCGCACGCAACTCCGGTAACTCGCCCGGGTTGTGGAGCCCGGGGGGCGGTTGCGCGGGCGCGGAAGGTACGCGGGCGCTTGGCGGCTGCGAGGCAAGCGACCCGCGCCCGGAGAGGAGCGGGACCCGAAGGATGAAGCTGCCGACGGTGAAAGTGCTCGCCCCCAAGCACTCCATCCCGCCCTTCCCGCAAAGCTCAGGGGGACAGACCCACAGCGGCGCGGCGCGGCCGGGCCGGCAGCCCCTCCCGGGAAGGCTTGCCCACCGGAGAGCCCTGAGCAGCCGCCCCGACGACGGGCACCCGGGTTCCCCCCTCCCACGGCGTGCGTGTCCCCCTGCCCCCCCCCCCCCCCCACACACACACCCCGCAGGCAGAGCGGGTCACTCACATCACAGGCTCCCGTCGGGGCTCCCGGGAGTTGCTGGGGAAGCGAGCTGCGCCCGGCTGCAGCCTCGGCGTCGGAGCCGCTGTTATTTACAGCGAGGCCGAGCAGCTTCTGGAGAAACCCTGGCGGGGTGGGGACGGAACTCGCAGCCCCCCACCGCTGACAGCTTTAATGGGGGGGGGGGGGGTGTGTGGGGTGTGTGTGTGCGCTGGGGAGGGGGGCGCCGAGCCGAGCACCCGCTGCCGGGGCCGGGAGCGCCGCTGCGGAGCGGAGCGGGTGCGGGAGGCGGCGGCGGCACTTTATAATTCGGGAACGCGGGGAGAGCGCGGCCTCCCCCAATCGCCGTCGGGCTCCCGCTGACGCAGCACCTACGACATCCCCCCCCCCCCCCCCCCCCCCCGCCCCGCGCCGCTGCCCCGCCGGCAGTGACTCCGGCGGGGTTCGGGATGAAATTGGGGGGGCGGAGGGGGGGGGGGGGTGGTGTAGTTGTGGGGTGTGCCTCTGCCGTCGGGGGGAGCAGCGAGGACCCGGCACCGGGGGAAGTTACCGGGGGAAGTTTTCACCGGGGGCGGGCGGGGATGAGACATTGGCGTGAGTCACCCGAGGGGGGGGACGTGGGGAGAGGCGCCCCGGGGCTGGCGGCAGCTCCGCTCCCCTGCACAGCGCCGGGGAGGGGGACTGCGTTTGGGGTGGTGGTTTTTTTTGGTTTTTTTTTTTTTTTTTTTTTTTTTTTTTTTTTTTTTTTTTTTTTTTTTTTTGTGGCTTTCTCTCTCTGCCACCCTGCCGCTGGTGCTGAAGGTCCCCTCCCTGAGTCTCAGGTGTAAAACATTGTGTTTGAGGGAAACAGGTTTTACCAGACCGAGCGGGAAGACAAGGTTTTTGATTTATAAGTACTGGAATTTCACAAGTATGGGTAGATCTACCTTACTTTCCCAATTCTGGTGACCAGGAAAACACAAATATGAAGGAGCCAAATAGAGGCAAACCCCCAAGCATTCCTGCAAGATTCTCAACCCCAGCAGCTGGGGCAGCTCGCAGCTCTGTGAGGCTTGATATCCCGGGGAACTGGTGTGGAGTGATGATGCTGATCCCTCACACCTCTCGTTTGTAGAGGCCTCTGCCTGAGCCTTGCCAAACTGCATTTCTTTGGCTGTCAGAAACCAACTTCTATTTCCATCCCCCACTTTTTTTCTAGCGTTTTATATTTATTTGTTCTTTTTTTCATAGAATCATAGAACAGTCTGTGTTGGAAGGGACCTTTAAATGTCCCCAGCCCCCTTTCAGCATTGTCCTTCAGTTTAAAGAGCATTTTTTTCCCTTCCTGGTGTGTTTCTGGCATGGGATTATTCTCTCTAGTCCTCATTTTGCTGAAGTGAACAGGTTGTGCTCTTCAGCTTTCTATCTTGAGATGGGCCCTTTTCATGTAAGTATTCTGCTCTGCATTTGCTGTACTTGGAGTTCATAATTTCTGGGCATGAGTGATGGGAACAGTACACAGTATGTCGGTTGAAATTTCATTAGGGCATTAATGCATAATTATCTCCCCCTGGAGGAGGAAGACACCTCAATTTATACCTCCTCAGATCTCATTTGACTTTTCTAATGCTGCAGTACATCGATGTCACACACTCATCCGGTAACTGAGATACAGCCAGGTCTTTATCCATCAGAACTAACACAAAATCCAGTACTATTATTGTATGGAAATTGTGCTTTCTGCCACCTGTTAGTCTTTACCTCAGCTATCTGACTCAGGTTAAGGACACTCAAATGAATGTCTGGATTTTTGGAAATACATCCATGCAAGCCAAAGACATAACTCTTGTGTATGATCAGTGTATGTGAGAAGCGAATCAGGCTCTCTGTTGATGGAGTAATATCAGCCAATTTTGTAAGTGAACCCTCAAGAGAAGAAGTAGACATTTTAAAAATCATCCCAGTGGGTATATTTATGTTAGCATGTGAGGGATCTACATTTGGAACAATGAGCAAATTTCTATGCCACTGAATCAGCAGGAATGCTATAAAGTTTGTTCCTAAGATGGTTAGGGAAGCACTGACTAACTCCAGAGGTGACACATTTGGTGCCTCTTTTGCTGCAAAGATGCTCTCTACAAGCAGAGCTTTTTGTGATGGACATCAGATTAGTCCTCTGGGACAATTCCTGACCCTCAGCTCTGCCATCATTTATTGGCTTGTACTCTAATAGTCGGCATGGCGTGATGGGACAGATAGCCCAGCAGCCTCCCGATTCTTCCTCCTGCAGTGTACATCCCATGTCCCCGGGCTGACTGGCTCCTGCTTTCGTCATTCTGCATACGAGCATCCATGCTCAGCCTGCCCGCTCAGCTGCTCAGTCTGCCATGTCACTTACTGTGTTTAATCTGATCGGGATGAAATCCCAGGCAGTGTCAGAATGACACTGTGTGCAGAAGTGCCGACAATCTCTGTATGTAAGATACAGATTGTAACAGGAAAAGACGAAGGAATAAAGCATATAAAAGGACCAGATAAAAGATGTGAATTCTACGTAGAAGTGGAGCAATAAGGAGGGTTATTTTACACTGGATAAGTCTTAAGCCATAAATTTTATGACTGCTGATGAAGATCAGGGAAGATGAAAAGGGACCAGGTGTGAAATGCGCAGGTGCAAGGACACCGTAAGGGAGAGAGGGGAGGTATGTGCACAGCCAGCACTGGGCAGAAGAAATCTAGCTGTGGCTGCTGGAAGTGCTACAGGTATCCCCGACTCTTTGGCTCATTGCCTTCTCCATATCCTCTGTCATTTGAATCTTTGCCTGGTTCCTCTCTATCGCTGGTCCTCATCCTGCATCCTTACAGAGGCTGTATGAGGGTCCCCAGGGCCTGGCAGAGTGGGGAGTGGGAAGAAGGTCCCAGCTGGACTCTTGTTTTACCCTTTTCCCACTTGTAGCAGTGACTGCTACACAGGGTCCTCATCTTCCTCCTGAAAGATTCTGATACTCACAAAGAATGAGTAGTAATACAAGGAAATAGTAATTAAGAAAATATTTACTGAAGAGCTCACTTCTCCCAGTGTCAGCAGATGAAAGCTCTGTAATTCCCTGTCTGAGTCCAGTTTTGTACAGGGAAAGTATTCTTTGCTGAGAGAGGATGAAAACAGCAGAGGATTTGGAAAATTTTCACAAAATACTGCAAAGCAAAAACTACAGAAAGAAAGTGACTCACCGTAGGAGTGGAGGATAACATTTCCTTAGCAGTGGAGGATTGAGAAACTAAGAAACAGGGAGGCATAAAAAGAAAGAGGACACTATTCACATCAATAAAGATGATAATTGTTGCTCCCTACTAACTCTATAGTAGAAATGTCTCGATGTTGATAAAAACATCAGCTTTTATATAATTCAGAATTACCACAAACACCAAATGCTTTTTATCTGTCATTAAAATGCACCAGTCAAAAGAAATCTGTTTATATTACAGTAGTGCTTGCAGCCCCAGGTGCCCGGTTGTCCTATGGCTTGTCCAGGCTCCCAGACTTAAGCTAGAACAAGGTGAAGCCAAGATGAAATCATCTTCATTTTACTGAGTGAGAACGCAATTTGAATGACTTTACAAAGTCTTGCCAAAAGTGGGCAGCCAAGTTAGAAACTAAATCTCTGTCTCTTGGATTTCACATCAGTATCTTTACTGCAGGACTAGCTTTCCTTTCCAAACTATACTCATCATGCTAATTGAGCCACTACAAAATCATTAAATGAAGATGGATTTACAGAAATATGAAACAAACACACTCTTAGCACCCCAAGCAACCCTTCTCACAGCACAGAGCCTTTTTGATAGAATTGAAATAAAGAATAGGGAATGTAAAATGGTGTGTTGATTATTTTCTTCAACTCAGTGCAAAAGGTCACAGCATTTCTTAAGACCAAAGAGTCAGATTCTATTTAGCTTAGTCTAAATGAGCTCAGTTTTTAATGTGAACATATATAACTAATACCAGAGCACAGGAAGGCATCGCAGGTCATACCTCTTGTACCAAACTTACCATCAAAGCAATGTAGAGACATGAGTTATTAATCGATAGGTAAAAGTCATGCATTCCTACTTTTAAAATATCTTTATTAAACTATGTCTAATGTAAGCAGAGAGGATCTGTAATACAGAGAGGTACTCAATGTGTGGTTGGTATGGTGTTACTCAGAATGTACCTTTACAGGACGGAGATGGTCCAGTGCTTCCCATATGTCTGTGTATCCCTTAATATACATCTAGGCGTATCATTTAAGATATGAAGAAATAAGAAAGGTATCGGTGATGCAGACATTTCTGCTAACAGCTGCTGAAGACAGTCTTGTATGAAGAACTCGAATGCTGAACTTTTAATCTCAGACAAAGCTCGGTCTTCTTAACAATATTTTTGTCCTTGAACAAATTATACCTTTTTTAGAAGACAAAACCATATGCTGATCTAGTGGTGATAGGGAGATTTTTTTAATTGAAAGAGCAGTGACAGCTACTTTCCCTGTCTCACGGCTGATGCCATGCAGCTTTCTAAGGGGGGAGAGGGCTTCATGCTACTTTTTCTGAGCAAAATAATGTGACAAGCATTCAGTATAAGCATTCAGCAAATATAAATTTTGGTGCATATTTTTACCTGTGATTGTATCAGACAAGATAAGAATGAAGCAGAGAAATATATACTGATCTGTGGTGATACATGGAAATTCGCTCTATTATATGCTTCTCTGTTTCTCACAGGCACACAAATATGTACACTCAAAGATTTCAGAGATCAGGCCTGAACTGCAGTAAGTAGAATGGGCTGCAGATTAAGTAGAACAAACTGTACAAAATCCATAGTTGTTATAAAAGCATTATGTCGCTCATTTCCACAGAGGCCATGGGAGGGGTATTTCCAATAAAATAAGAAAAAAACCAGGGTGCTTAGTAGCAAAATACACTGTGATGAAATCCAGGCACAGTGATTATTGTTTAAGACAATAACTACTCCACATGAGTTGAGTGATTTATCCTCATTTTTTTAATTAAGAAAACTCATCCACGAATTACAAAGGAAGTATTAGATTCCATCTATGAAAAGGATTGCAGGGTCTAATGCATATGCATATTTGGAATGATTAGCTGAAAATTGTAAATGAGAGATTTTGATCACTTCAGTCATATTAAGAAAAACAAACCATCAGAGTCTAAATAATGTATCTGGAGTGCAAGCTTCTACTATTTTCCCACTATTTATATTCATACAGCAGAATTTTGGAGCTCCTTCCTCGGTTTCAGCCTCGCATTTTCATTGCTAATATTTTATTGCCCAGTTGGGGAGTGCTGTGTTCACACTTTAGCACAACACTCAGAACAAGTTGTTGTGGCAGAGTGGAGCTGTAAGGAGAGCCTGGCGCGTTGCGTGCAGAGGGGGCCGGCCGGGTTCCTCGGGGAGCACTGCTGGGTGCTGCGGGGCAGGCAGAGGTGGCTTGAAACTCCCCTATTCTGGGCAGTTCAGAAACGTAATTTAAAACAGGGGCGGTGGTTTGCTGTTGGTTTCCAGCAGCCCAACAGGGAGTATTCTATGGCTGAGCACTGAGCTCTCTCCTTTCCGCTCCCGCCGCGGCCGGAGCACAACCTCCCTCCCTCGTGCTGTCTCCGGGCCGTGACGGGAGCGGCGAAGGGCCACGTGTGCTCCCTCTCTCCCACTCTCACGCTGGAGGGATTCCCCAGAGGCGATCCAGACACCAAGGGGAGGGTCATACGTCATTTCATTGTAGCTCTGCTGGGAATTCCCTTGTCCACACTGGGAATTTGTCTGCGGCTGTAGCGCGCAGCCCGCGTGCAAGCAGCACGGAGCCTCTTGTGCTCCTACGACATGCCTTGGTCCGATGGTGGGCTAAATTCCTCAGCTGCAAAAGCAACTTTATGCTCACTTTTGGCAGAGTTCACTCTAGATTAGCTACAGCCACACTTGCAATCCCCGAGGAACTGCAAATACTAAACAGATGATGTTCATGCAAAAAATGGAGTAGAAAGGTGCAGAAGAGACAGGGATTTCACAAACATTGTGTGAAAGGTCCACCATCTTTCTTTCAATGTAAAAGATTTTTAGTTACTTTACATGAATCGGGACTTCATTTATGTTCCAGAAAGTGTTTTCCTTAGAAAGGAAAACTGGAGGTTTAATTAATTAAGTTATCTAGTTTAGGACAGGGAAAAAGATGCTGACATAAGAAGACATCTTAAGAGCATTTGAAAATGAAATAAGAAACACTGTCATCATATTCCTTCATTTTCCACATACTTGACCTGTTTCACTGGCCATTGTTTGTACCTCTTTGCACTTTGTATTTCTATGAAAAAACCTGGAAACTGAACTCTGATCTTTCCTCTCTCAGTTTACCAGTCTGCATTCTTTTTCTCTAAAGCTGTTTGCTTTATATTTGAAATTAATTTAATTTCTCCTTCTGCATAATTGAACACTCCAGAAACTAAAAAGCGACCGCAGCCAGCTGAGCCTTTATTGCTTTTCTTGTACAGAACTGATGAAAATATTTCATGAAAGTTGAAGCTGTGAATTTGACTGGGGCCCGGGTTTAACCCGAAGTTTGAATTTATGCAGAAGCTGAGAAGATCATGAATGATTTTGGAAGCAGAAGAGTTATCACATCGAGTGAAAATATAAGTGCAGTGACAGTGCATAGTGAAGGAAAATGGCAGATGTGGTAAAGACGTTTTGATTATTTTGGGATAACATACGTGTGTTGGAGGAGATTGCCTTGTGGTTGACTCCTTTCCAACCTTCCAAAGATACATCTCACATTTTGGTTGTTATATGGCCTTGCTGTCATGATACGTAGCTTTTCCTTTGTCGTTTTGAAAGCTTGTAAAATCAGGGTGGCAGCCACTGCTGGAGTGGAGGGATAATGCAAGGTTTCTTTTTAATGAAGGTGGTCTGAATGATATTGTTACACAGCTAACCAGTGCTGTCATGTCTTTTCTAGTTCTGTCAAAAGCTTTCTGTGTCACCTCAAAGTGGTGAATTCACCACTTCCCTCTAATGTAATGTAAATGCTATCAGTTATGACCTGATAATGCCTAGCTTGCAGCATTTTACTAGACAAAGCAATTGATAGTATATCATAGCCTTTGACTGAATTCATTCAAAGTATCGGGTATAGTATTATACCTCTAAGACAAGACTAAAATATCAGATATTTTTGAGTTCTTAGTGATTTGGGCTATCTTTGGCATGTCCCTTGTCTATCCTGGTACCCTAGGATTTAATCAGCTGATGTGTTCAGACACATCTAAGGTAAACAGATTGGTGTGTGCTAAGATTTCAGAAAAAAAGACATAGAATACAAAATAATGCAAATCTCACAATACTGAAATACTATATATTGTAAGCAAAAATAAGTTGTACTTCAACTTATTCAAGTGCATCAGCACTTTGAGTATAGGGAATGAGTACCCTAAGCAAATAATCCACAGAGAAGAAAAATTGAGTCTGGGATGAGGTAGAATGGGGAAAGTCACCATTGTGAAGCTTTTATGAGATTAGGCTAGTTTATGTCATAAAACATTCCTCAAGCTGATTATCTTTCTTTAACTTTTCTGTGGTTGCCTGGTGTGTGTTCCCCACTCCTCTGCAGGCAGCCGTGCTGGTCAGTGGCTGAGGAAGACCCTCCACCTGCTCCGAGAGCATCCCAGTAACTGCCGTGTCACCTTACCCAGATCTTCAGGGTGAGGTGGAGTTTTATCATGGGACACGATGACTAGAGATAAATCATTTACTGAAATGAGGACTACTCTCCAAAAATGCAACAGCAAAGTTTCTGTGCTATGAAGTTGACCAAAGTGTTCTGCTATTTTCTTGTGGCAATAAATAAAATGACTCATTTGTCTAATTGTCCTGTTTTTTTATGATTAAACGAGGCTGCAATTTCCAGAATACACCAGAGTGTATACTTTGTGCTAAAAATGGATGTAACGTGTGTGCCAACAGAATGATGCCAGAATTTGGAGGAGCTTTCTTTCTTGGTGTTTTCCTGCTGGTTATTTTAATGTCAGTTTAGTTTCGAAAAGCGGTAAACTTGTTATTTGAAAGACTGCAAAAGTAAATAGTCATGAATATCTTTAAAATGATAACAAACTAAGTGAAGTGGAAAAAATAATCAGCATCTGTATTGCTTGGTCAACTGATCAAAATACCACCGCAAACCAACAGAAGGAAGCGGGAGGCTTTCAAGGAGGTTGGGGTGCTTCTAGGCAAGGGTGACTGCTGCCTCCAGCCTGCTTGTTCAGCTCTTGGCTTCAGAACCTGGGGATAGAGCTGAGTGTTGCTGCACATCTGCTTTGCTTCCCTTTGAAGATGGGGTGAATAAAGCAATACCCATACGTAAGAGCTGACTGTCATTTTGAGCCTTAGCCCATTGGTTTTACACCTCTTTAGGCAGTGCAGAAATGTACAGGATTACCTGGAGGTGGTGGTGGCGTCCTCAGGGGAACTGTGTCAGGTTTCACCACTGACAGAATATTCAGGCTCGTTGCCTTCTAAATATGCCTGAGATGTCAAGATTTTTCTCCGTGGTACATTTCTGGTTTTGTTAGGACCATGATGCAACTTCTGACAGTGCTCAGCAGTTGAGCTTCTGGTTCTTATTCTGTTAAGACCATGTATAAAGTCAGGAACAGAGCTGTGGATGGGATGCCCAACACAATTTGCATGCATGTAAGCCTACAGAAGGGATGTGTGAAGTAAACTAACTATAAATCAGTAAACTGTAACTATGAATCTGCAAACTGTAACTACAAATGTAAAGCTCAGAGTTAGAAATCATGAGGAAAAATGTCAGACAAAATGCATCATTAATGTAATTTCCAGGTTTTTCAAAATTAAGTGCTTGTGGAGGTCTGCTAGACACAGTTCCAGCGCTTTCTGCTTTATCTTGTCTGAAGACTTGTCTTCTGATGTTTGATGGTCTCCAGTTTCCCTACATCCAAGCTGGAGCTCCCTGGCTTTTTGTCTGGTAGGACATAGCAAAATTAACATCTCTGATTAGTTTTTATGAAGAATGGAGCTGCAGCAACAGAAAACAGATATGGGAGAAAGTATGAGGTACATCATGTTTTTTAACCTTGCCAGTTATTTTATATTACTGTGAAAATCTTCCGCCCATCATCAGGTTTGGTCTGATATCTGTATTTGTGCTATCCTTTGTCGTGGGATTTTGAAAGGTGCTTTGGAGAAGAGAAGTGGTTTCTCTCTTTTTTTACATCATCTGAATGTGTACTTGAGTCCAAGAAAATACTTACTAATCCATTTTAATAAAAATGTGCTCTGTGTGGAGATAAACCAATGCTTGAAATCCAAGGTTGGTGCTTTGGGCCTGGATTGGTTGCTTAACTGTAATGAACCCCAGTGATTGCTTTTGAATCTCAGAGTTCTGAGCCAAAAATCACATCTTCCTTTCTCCTGTAAGCTACCTGTCTTCTCTGCTAATATTTACAGGGAAGTGTATTTTCTATTTTATACCTCCAGAGTTTTCCATCAAAAAGTTAGACAACAGAATGCTAATTGAAGGCTAATGACTGGGAGACCCTTTATAGATTATCATGGTCTCTAAACTAATAAGGAAAAAAAAGACAGGGCAATTCAGTATTAATTTAGTTGACATTTGTGGCTTAGTGTCCTGGGTTTGAGTGAGTGGTGGAGATTTTTGGTGGCAGGGGAGGGGGCTATCGGGACGGCCCCCTGTGAGAAGCATCTTGAGGCTCCCCCAGCTCCAAGTCAGCTCCACCTCTGCACCAAAACTGAGCCCATCAGCTGCGCCTCTGTGATAACGTATTTAAGAAGGGACGTGGTGACGGGCAGTGGGACTGGTGAGGAGGAGTTGCTGCAGCTGCATGAACCCCAGGGTCAGTGGAGGAACGGAGGAAGAAAGGAGGGGGGAGGTGTGCCGGAGCAGAGACCCCCCTGTATCCTGTGGGGAGACGGCAGGGTGGCCCCCCCCTGCCACCCATGGAGATCTACGGTGGAGCAGACACTGATTTATGGCCTCTGGCTTCCGCCTGCCTTAATCAAGGTTCTGTGCCTGAAGAAGGCCGGGGTCTTGTGGGAAAAGGCAGCCCCGCTGCTGTAATTCAGTGCTGGGAGGATTGCAGCATGCGGGGGTGTCCCACGCCGGAGCAGCTCGGGAAGGGCTGCAGCCGTGGGAGAGAATCCAGTCGGAGGAAGTTAGTGACCCATGACGGAGCAGTGTGGGGAACGCTGCGGCCAGTGGGAGGGACTCATGTCGGAGAAAGTTTGTGGAGGACTGTCTCCTGTGAGAGGGGGACCACGATGGAGCAGGAAGAACAAGTTCCGGACACTCCCCTCACCGAAGATGAAGGAAGTGGCAGCGCTGACTGCACCCCCCATTCCCTGCCCCTGCACCTCTGGGGGAGGAGGTAGAGATATCGGGAGCAGAGCTGAGCCCAGGAAGAAGGGAGGGGTGGGGGAAAGGTGTTCTCAAGGTGTGGCAATGCTTCTCACTGTCCTACTCTGTTATGTGTTGTTAGTGTCTGTAATAAATGTATGTTCTTTTTTTCTTCCCCTAACAAGTCTGCCTTTTGCTCGTGACCATAAAGGGGGATTTTTTTTTTCCCATCCCAGTCCTATCTCGAACCCCAAGCCTGGCTCTCTGTCCCTTCTCATTGCCGGAATAGAAGGGAGAGAGAGCTGCTGCGTGGTGGTTGGCTGCCGACCAGGCCCAAACCACGACACTTAGGTATTATTTATGAGAATGTTTTGCAGTACAACATAGTAATTGTATTATTACATGTCCATTCAAAAAAGGGAACTGTAGTGTGAGACATTAAAAATAATCAGTAAAATGGATTGAGAATAATGGAGACAGATGTAAATTTAAATTTTTTAAAGGATGAGTGCATTTTTAATTTATCAGATATGGAGTAATTAGTTTTATTTTGTCAAATATTGCAAGAAAAATGCTAAATTAAATGTAAGTACTATGGAGCAATATGAAGCTCAAAGAAAGGTGGTAACTTTACTTCTTAATAATGTCTTCAGTTAAAAATTTAATTAAATTATTACTTGGAGCCTCCTCACAAGGTTACCACTATCAATGTTCAGAATCCAGTAATGTCCATTAATGTGCACAGGGAAATGAGTAGTATATATATTTTTACAGGGTGAGAACCTTTCTGTAAGCCTTTTTCTCCAAAAGAAAACTATAATCGAACTGAATCTGCTATTTTCAAATATGTTTTGCAAACGCAGAATTAATGCTGTTGTGTAAACCCCTTAATTGTGGTGGTTTATGGCTAATTTATGTGTGGCTATATCATATTCAGTTCCAGGAAGCTGATTTAAAACAGAGGTTCAGTTTTAATCATTTAATCCCTCCTTGATCTTGTGAATAGAAACTCTTCACTTTCTTTGAGTTGTGATTAGTATCTATCGTGCAGTTATCTGAGTTATAAATTAGAACATACAAAAGTTGCAGGGGAATAGTATCTGAAGTGCAGTGATCTAAGTATTAAATAATTACTACTTTTATTGATCATTGCTCCTTGAACATCAACTTAAAATAGAAACCAATTACAATGTGATACAGAAAACAAAGTGATGGTATTAGTACCGATGGTAATATTTACTCTCTGGGTTACTCTTCCTTTTTGTTCCACCTTTTCTGGGCAGGAGGAAAGGGTTACAGGTATTTTACTTGGCTGGGCAATCTGGGCTTCTTGAGTGGCCCCAAAATACCAGCATTTAACTCTCTCTTTAATAAAATAACCCATTAAGTCATGAGAGATTTTCAGTGCCTCACCTTTCCTTGCCTGTTCAGAGCAACCTCCTTGCCTAAACTTACTTAATCTCTACCTAAGAATTAAGATCTCATGTCTCAGTTCCATGAGGAATAATTTTGTGGCCAAGAAGTAGAAAGTGTCACCCTTTAGAAATTTAGTGCCAAAATCTTGGCTGGTCCAAATTCATGTAGCTACAGTGATACCATATTTTGTATTCTAGATGAAGTTCAAAGCTACTTTCCCTTGTCTGCATGTCATGTACTCATGTTAATATTTTTCCAGTCTGCCAGTTTTTATGGCACCAATCTTTTTAGTTGCTATGCATCATTTGATTTAATTCCACCACAGACAATGATTTATAACTGCTTTATTATAAAGAAAAACAGTCAGAAAAGAAGAAGATAGATGCATGACCGTGAGCAGTGACATTAAACTGAGCTAATATCTGATGTGCTTTTCAGGAAAACTTTTTAACATAATGAAGTGCTTAGACTGTTCCCCCAAATTAAGCTTCACGTGAGGTAAGAGGTGGCACCGTTATTACCCGATTTAGTTTCAGCCAGTTGATTTAATTATGCAGTGGAGAACAGTGTAACTCTGCAGTGAGGATGTTTAGGAAAGGTCAGTCCACCTCTTGATTTGATGCTTTGATGCACAGTATATTTCAATGAGAATGTACCTATAAGCTCATAAATGTCTATATACTGAAGATAAGCCTTGCAGACCTTATTAATTCTGTTACTATGGGCAAAGCCAAGCTTATCTTGAAAGAATCAAGAAAATTTTGATTTCTTTTAAAATTCAGTGTAATTTTGCTCAGTTTTGTTGTTGTTGTTGTTGTTGTTTTTGTTTTGTTTGGATTTTTTTTTTTTTTTTTAAATATCTGTACACTTCCCATCCAAGCATCTCAAAGCACTTGCATTGAACAAATTAGTCTGTCTCATTCCTGCAAAGGCAGTACTCTCTGTGTGGTTTAGGAATCAATGCGTTCATCTATGTATTTTCCTACTGGTGCGATATTACCTGAATTGCTT